GAGTCTCTATTAGCTCGATATCGTTACCATTCAATCCGTAGGTTTCATCTAGTCTACAGACTGTGGCCACCGTAAAAAGAGTGAGAGTCTTGATTTGGTCATTGTCGGAGCCTAGAACTGTTGGCATTCGTATCAACGAGTCAATCAGCTCGTCGTCCATCACCGGAGCTTGCTTTCTCTTCCTCCCCTGACCCTCACGTATCCTTTTCACAGCATCGAGCGCACGTTTGACGTGCTGACGTTCGGTTTCTGTTAGCTTAGCTTCACCGCGAATCTGGCTGAAAGTCTGGACTCCCGAAACATACTTGCATATGGTTTCATAAGTCAGTTGGGGATCGTCGAACGACAGTAAAGCCCGGATGAAAGTCTGCAACCTCTCACCGTTCACTGGACGCCCACAGATCTCTTCATAGTACTTATTAGGCGTCTCGTACTGCTTCCGGGTTGACTCCCGGATGGATTCCGCGCGCAGGGCTTCGTTTAACTCCTTCATTCTCTCCGAGCCTTCAGCTGGTTGCTGCGTTGCGAACATCTTTAGGTGAGTCAGCCTTTTGTCACGTGGATTGTCGTCCATTATGTAACACAACCTAGGACTGGGTATAACCCAGACGGATTTAAACACTCTTACTCAACGAAGTTAAAGCCGGAAACGTATCCGAGAGCTCAATAGGCGCGTAACCTATGTACCGTAACGCAGTCCGTCGATAACCATCCGTAAATCCGAGATAGTGACTGACTCCTCCTCCAGACCGTGCGGATGATAGTCCATATCACGTGACACACGGTCCGCTTCCACATTCAATTCGCCGCTCACATGGTACACTCCTTTGACTCTCTCGCTAACGCTCAATCCCTCCGATAGCAACTGAGTGATGGCTGCTACTAGATTCGCTGGCCCTATCTTTGATGAGAAACCCTTTCGCATCAAAGTCACTCCTGATAGCGAGTCTGAGAGGATCCAGATATCTTCACTGCCAAAACCTTTACGTCGAGCCAATATAACCCCCGC